TCTTAATTTCGAAAAATTAGGCGGAAGACGTGCGCGGCGATGTCACAGAACCGATTACTTCAAGAGACGATAAAAGCACGGAGAAAATCATTCTCCAAATTGTGGATGATAGCGGTAAGTGAGATTGTAATGTAGAAAATAAATAATCAAGTTTTTAGGCGAATACGGGCATGGCGGTGTTTTCGAGGCCATTCGGAAGAAATTTCCACCTGTCCCGAGTCGATATGAGCGAATCGCAGAAATGAAGGTGAGCTCATTTTGTCCAGAAAACTGTAAAGTGAGGCTTGATTTACCTTTATGTTCCTCGCCCGAAAAGTGTTTTTTCGGGTCGGAATCGATCTAGCAATGATCAAAATGTAGTATTTCGTAAAAAAATGCGCCGGAAAGAAGTTTTTAAGGGCTAAAAAGACCTTTTTTGCTAAATTTCGGGGACCATAAAAGGGGGTACGGGGGTATGTCGTTTATGGTCCTCGGCCAAAATCCATTTTTTCTTGTCGGAAACAATCCAGAAATGTTCAAAATATCGTTTGCAGTTCAAAAAAAAGCGCCAGAAAGACCTTTTTAGCTGCAAAAATTATTTTGGTACAAAAATTCATTCAGCCCAGTTTTAGCCTAAAAATAAGGCTTCGTGCCACCGGGGGCCTAGTCGCTTCGGATGGGCGCGAGCTCGTACAGTGTTTCGAAATCGGGTTTTTTGGCTATAACAATCAAATTTTCTTTTCAGGATCTGCATTATGGAGACGTTCACCTTATCGATACGGAAGTGCCCGACTCGAATGGCCATAACATTACCGTTGCACTTTTGATCGCCCAGAAAGAAGATGCACGCGGTAAGTGAAACATATTATTTTCTAGTATGAGTTTTGTAGACGAAGTCGATCACCCCACCCTCCGGAAATGCTTCCAAAATCTCACGTTCAACATGAAAGACAAGGCGATTAAGTGCAGCTACCATGTGTCGAGGCTGGATGACGGTTCGTAAAGCTTAAAATATTTATTATAACCTCTTTTAGAATTCGCGCAACTCGTTGATGAATACGGCCCGGCGTTTGGCATCCCCACCTACGTCTACACGTATCGTCGCAAGGTAATTAACCCAAATTTTGAAAGATATTTTTCAGGCCGAAAGCAGTGGCGGCGGTCGTCGCAGTGTCCGCGCAAAGGTGAAAGTCGCGAATGTGGTATGTTTTTCCGCAAAAACCCGATATTTTGTGTGTTTCAGATTGAATCTGACGAGGAAGAGTCCGATATCTCGTCTGAGGACGATTCAAGCGAAGATGCTTTTGATTCGGAAGACGCTGAGGAGGAAGAAGATGGTAAATATTTAGAGCAAAAAGTATAACCAGTGTTTCAGGAAGTGATGAAGAAGCGGAAGGATCAGAGGGATCTGGATCTGAGGAGGAGGAAGAAGAAGAAGAGGAGGAGGAAGAGATTATCGTCAAGAGAAAGAAGCCCGTTCAAGTAAAGGAGCGAACGAAATCTCCGGCGCCTAAGAAAGTTAAAAAAGAAGCGTCGCCAGTTAGAGGTAAACTCTCAAAAGAGTCCGAAAATTCAATTTTTAGTAAAACCAACGGCAAAGGTTTATGGAAAATCAGAAACCGTTCACCTCTACGAGAAGGACCTGTTTTCGGAGTCAAAACTTGCTGCATTGATGTGGGTTTTCTTGTCAATGTAGTTCAAAAACTTTTCTTTTAGGAAATATGCTGAAGAACGGGGGACGGAAATCGTTGATGAAGACGGCGCCAAGAAGGCCACACTTATTGTGGTGCCTGCGCAGTATTGCAAGAAGGATGAGTACGTTTTTGTAAACCTTTTCTTTTATGGTCTAGAACTATTAAGAACAAACTTATTTTCCAGAGCCGCCAAAATCAAGAAAGACTTCCCGAAATCCGCGAATCTGGTCAACGAGATGTGGCTGACCGATATCGACCTCTACGAAGAGTTCACCGACCCGAAGCCGTATTTCCTCTAAGCGATCCATTTTTTATAGCATTTCGCTACAATCTGATCTCATTTTACCTCATTCCTGGTTGTGTTCTTTGCCGGTATCGTTTCTCACTTTCTTATCCTGCACGCAAAAAGTCGAATAAATCTATATATTGCAAAAAAATAGCAGCGAGTCCAGAAAAATAAACGCAAAATCATATTAATGAAGACTTGCTTTTGAAAGAAAAAGCTAAAGAAGAGCCTCAACGATCAAGCACATCACAATTTCGTTTTCAGACCGGATTATGCATTGGTTTCGGCGTTCAGGCATAGGTTTTCAGTTGTTTTTGCTTGATTTGTTTGCCAATCGACTCCAATTCAGTTCCCTAGCCGTTCGGCGGTAGGTAAGATTAGACCATCTTGTTGGCCAGGGTCAACAGATAGCGTTCGGTTCAGGAAATCCTGCAAAAAGCCTGATGCGGCGGCGGTCGGTGATAAATAGAGGGTAGATTGGGGGAAGATCATTCAGAATCAGGCGCTGTTCAGTTTTGCACTCAAAAATCCTCATTTTTAATGGGTAGTTTTCATAATTACAATACTTTTACGAGACTTGCAAAAAAAACTGGAGTCGTTAGAGATTTCGATAAATAAATCCAAGCAAAAAGTCATTAGGCTCAAAGTTTTTATTCCGTTTTTCCTGCCTTGGTAATTGCTTTGGGTGACCGCCAATTTTTCAAAAAAAACCCTGCTCCCGATAAATCAAAAAGATTTACGAGCACTGCGGTGGAGTTGGGCTAGTGAACTTTGCTTTTTGTAGATTTTTGATTTTTATAGATTTTATAGACCCTCTTTATAGGCTGTAAAATGTGGGTTTTTTGTTGTGTGTTTTTATGCCGTTCAATAGAACCTAACCAGCGCTCGCTCAAAAAAAGTGATACCAATTAGCCCGTTCGGTCGGTTGGTTTGCACTAAATCTACCGTGATCCGGCTCAAAAACGCGCTGAAACTCGTAGTTAACAAATATAGCAAGTAATAAATAATATCTAATAACAATAAATAATCTTTGCCCTCGATGGCAATCACTCTTTTGTTTCCTTCCCTCGTGGTATCTACAAAATCGGTTTCCGGTCGAAAGAGTGAAACCCCCCAAAAAACGATGGTACCCAGGGGTTTTTGGTTGTCGGGAGCGCAACAATCTCGGTTCAATCTGGCTGTCTGATCTCCTTTAGAACCTGGGAAACTGACGGGGCGAACGGGCATTGACGGATGAAAGAAATGTTTTCGGAAAATGACCTTCGATCGCATTTAAAGGGAGGGAATGGGGCTAGGTTTGGCTCGGACCCTGGCTCGGGAGGGGGTATTTTTGGAGCGGTACGGTATTCTTGGTGCCGAATAGCTTTCAAAGTTTTCTTGTCGCTCTGTCTTTGTCTCTGTCTCTCTCACTCTCTCTCTCTCTCTCTCTCTCTCTCTCTCTCTCTCTCTCTCTCTCTCTCTCTCTCTCTCTCTCTCTCTCTCTCTCTCTCTCTCTCTCTCTCTGCAGAATGAATTACCGAGTTTCCAAAGGCGCCACATAAATTTTAAGGTGAAGTACGAATTTTACTCTACCCCGCCAGAGCCTATAATTAAACTGTGGTAATACAGGGTACGGTAACGTGATTCGGCGATTTGATTGGTACCCGAATTTGCCGAATAAACGAACGAATAATTTCAGGCATAACCCAGAATGTTAAAATGGCAGATTTCTAGATAGGATACGGTATTAAGTACGAATTTGCTATGCTAAATAATGGAACGTTTTCGAAACGTTGACTAAATTGCGGTATTAGAGGGTACCTTAACGGAATTCTGGCATTATTTCACCCAAACTTTTCTAGAAAAGTTCTACGATTTAGCGAGTTTTATATATCCCTTCCTACCCGCCACTCCAAAACTATACAATTCGTGCCCAATTACAACCCAACCCGGTCGAGTAGCAAACCCGAAACCAAACCCGGCAAAACTTTTACAGTAGAAAGAAGTGCAGGGAAATAAAGCGAGTGATGAACCATCCGGATCGACCGGGGGGCTTGTTACCACCGGCTCATCGCCACCCAAAAACCGTCTTTTCCGCACTCTTTTTCACCTGAAAAATCCGACGGCGGTTGGTCCCGATGCGCGCAGGTAGTCACACTTTGGTTAGCCCGAACTTGGTCCCCGGCCAGAATTGTAAGTTTGATTGATGCGCCGGTTTTGTTGGGCTGCGGCTTAGGCTTAGGCTTAGGCCTAGCCTAGGTTGCGCACTTCTTTTCATACAGTAACGTGCTCCTAAAAGCAAACTACAGTACCTTGAAAGGGTACTGCATCAGAAAATAGACGGTATCAGCTAGATTTCACTTTTATTTGGCACTTTTCAACCATAAATTTCGCTCTGAGCAATTAGTAATTTCTGTTTTAAAAATGCGTTTCTTAATTTTTTTTTTTAGGCCCGCCTCGCATCACTTCAACCTTGTCTACAGATTCCTGCGTTGAAAAACGGTAAGGAAATTTTTGGCGTTAAAATGTTGGCCTAATTTGCATAGTTTCACAGCTTAATTTGCATATCCGGTGGTAGTGCTAGAGAAAGTAATGCGAAAAACATTTTTTTCAAGCCTTCTCCACTACAACTTTCAGGTACTTTTGCGTCCCAGTTTTGGTTAGAGTGCAGTTTACCCCCCCCCAGCCGGCACCCAACTTTTGTATCTCGGCTCCCTGTTCATCTACCAAAATACTCGCCAGAGCAAGACGAACATTTTGGTATACTTTACACACCTGTGGATGAACAGGGAGCCAAGATACGGTAGGTGGGTGCCGGCTGGGGGGTAAACTGCACTTAAGCCCAGATTTTTGGTTGTTTTCAGCCCCTCGTAGAGGTGGGCAACATTTTGCCGGGCAAGAAATTGTGTGTTTTTACGCCTGTCCTACTACTGTGTACATAAACTTGTCGTGAAAAAGCGGGGTGGGAACGCGTAGCAGCGGAAAAACTGGGAGTTCATAGGGTCCGCCGGGAACGTCTTTTACTACTGTCATTTTTTGTAAAAAACCCATTTCTTTTGTAGATGTTCTTCCTGATCTTCTTCGGCGCCGTCGCCGCCTGGGTGACGTTCTTCTTCCTGCGCATCAAGTGGGAAGAGGAGAAGCTGGATGATCTGCCGAATCGGCCGGTGTTCATCACCGGATGTGATTCTGGTGGGTGAAGGTTAAGCTTAAATCCAAGCCTAATCCTAAGCCTTAGCATAATCCTAAGCCGAAGTCCAAGCCTAACGAAGCCTGTAAGCCTACCTTTTCCAGGTTTCGGCCACGACGCCGCGCTCAAGCTGTTGAGCATGGGCATGCCAGTGTTCGCCGGCTGCTACACCGAGGAGGTATCGAGCTAACGATTTTTTCAAAAAAATTCGTTTTAGGGTCTCGAAAAGATCGAGAAAGAGGCCTCCAACTACACCAAGGGCAAATTCAAGGCGATCCGCCTCGACGTTACCAACGACGAGAGCGTCGACCGGATGGGGACATGGCTGGAGAAAGAGGTGCAACCGTATGGAGGTAATGAAACTTGAGAAACACTGAGCTTACTGAACAACTCCAGGGCTCTGGGCGGTCATCAACAACGCCGGCGTCGGGTTCAACGTGTTCCTCGACGATTTCCTGAAGCACGAGGACTATCGGCTGACGATGGAGATCAACTTCTACGGCATCATGCGCGTCGTGCATAGGCTGAGGAGGGCGCTGAAGCAAAGGAAGTGGGTGTCGATTTATCTCTCTCTCTCTCTCTCTCTCTCTCTCTCTCCCTTCCCTTCTCTCCCCCCCCCCCCCCTCTTTCTCCTCTCTCTCTCTCTCTCTCTCTCTCTCTCTCTCTCTCTCTCTCTCTCTGTCTCTCTTCTCAGCTCCCTGGACCTTACTTTGGCCAATCAGGAAGTAATTATGTCTTTTTAAAAGGCACGAAAGTATGACCCGTGGGAACTAGGAAGTCTTTTTCGGGTAGGTGTGGGACAATGATGGCAACAATGCTCTGCACCATTATAGTTTTCAAAAAAAAATGCCCGGGAAAATGCTTGGTTCCCACGCTTGTTAGGGAAACAAAGAAAATCTGTAGCAAATCGGATCACGCGCTGTTGCGAAGCGGGCAGAAAAATTGGGGATTCGCAAAAACAAAAAAAATATAGGAAATTCCGTTTCCGTACTTTTTGCTCTGTAAAAATTACAACAAAGAGTTCAGGTTTGTTATGACATTTTTAGGGGCCGTCTAATCAACGTGACGTCGATCCTTGGACGCTGTCCGGCCGCTGGTATCGGCCCCTACATCATCTCCAAGTTCACCGCCAACGTCTACACCGAAGTGATCCGGTATGGACACTACGAGATACACCGAATTCCATAGATTAAATTGCCGTATTTTAACATATAGCGTATATAACATTACACTTGACGAAAAATGGCTCCTTTTTCAGCAAGGAGCTGGCGATCTGGGGCATTGAGGTGATCCACATCGAGCCCGGGTTCGTCAAAACGCCGCTCACCGACACCGAGAGGATCCGGAAGAATAATGAACATGTAAGGGGGAGAGAGAACGTGAGAGAGAGAAAGCGAGAGAGATAGCTAGTTTTCCTAGTTTCTAACCAACTAATTCTTCCGTTATAGCTTTGGGAACGCGCCAGCCCCGAGCTAAAAGCCGAGTATGGATACGAATTTTTCAAAAAGAGTGGGTTTTGCGTACTTTCCACTTAGAACTCTCAAAAATTCCGTTTTTCAGCCTGCGAAAACCAGGCGATGATGATGAACGGGCTCGGCGCCAACCACACCGATCGCGGTGGGTAAAACACAAAAAATGTGCAGCGCGGCGAGCTTTTTTGAGCCGTGCCTGGACCGGGAACCTCATTATAGGAATGGGAACGTTGAAAATAAAACTCTACCAGCATCGAAAACGCAATAAAAAAAACTAAAAAACTATTTTTAATTTAAGGGTATGTGAAAGCCTAGCCGTGACACGCGACGCATTCGGTTAGCTTGCGGTGAACGCTACAAAAGTCCTGCGCGCGTTGCGTACCGCGTCGCCTACCGTTGTCCATTTAGTCGAAAAACCTTTTTTGCAGTCGTGAACATCTACGTCAAGGCCGTCACCTCGGTGAACACGCGCCGCCGGTACAAGGTCGGCATCGACACCAACTTTTTGTGAGTTTCACCTACCCGCTCCCGATTTTTCCGCAACATTCCGATAGACACGTGCAGTAAGAACCTTTTTTGCATGTTCCGCAACACTGCGTTAGACACGTGCGCACCGTGACCTTTTCACGTTTCACAAATCGTACTCCTTCTCGTCAGTGTCCAAAAATTGAGAAAACGAATTGGGGAACGGTATTGGCAACTAACCGACTGAGCGAGCTGTCACTCCTTGTTTCGGGCCGCTAGTGAGGAGCGGATTTTCGAAAAACTGAAACCTCGGTTTGGGGTGTAGATCTGTGCGAAGATCTGTCACGGTTTAGAAGTTGAGAGAAAAATGGGGATGGAAAAAGGAGGCTGGATGGGCTCGACTTGGCATAGGCTTAGATTGGGCTTAGGCCTAGGCGTAGGCTTAGGTCGGGCTTAGGCTTAGGCTAAGCCTTGTGCTGAAGCTTTGGAATAACTTGGACTTGTCGCCATACGCTTATGAAGATGTAGCTTAGGCTTAGGATTTGGCCTGGTTTTGAGCGTACACTTCAGATCAGTCTTAGGTAATGTTTTGGGCTTGGGCTTCGGGTCGGGCGTAGGCTTGGACTTAGGCTTTGGTTTAGCTTAGATTTAGTATAACGTTTGCTAATATGCATATTCCCCTCTTTTCCAGGTGGAACCCGTTGACCTGGCTGCCCACCGGCCCCCAGGATTGGGCCTTCTGGCTGATGAACGTCGCCGCCGGCGCCCCGACCCCGGCCGCCCTCCTCGCCGGGCCCCAGGGAAGGAAGCAAGGATAGAAAATCCACAAGACCATATTTCCCCCGAAAATATGTCTGATTTTCTGCTTCCTCAACGTTGGCCATTCCCCTGGTCGCTTCTTTGTATACTGTAAAAGTTTTTGCCCATCTTCTCCCCTAGAAGACCCGCCAAATACTTTTCCCCCTGGCCCCCCTGGACTATATCATCTCCCGGTCTCACCTCAGCTTTTGGTAGGGTTTCCCAGGCTTTTCCCCCCGGCTCCTCTTTCCCCCATATCCCCGGTTGGATCCCAGCCCTATGTGCAAAATGGATTTTTGTAATTGGCCCACTTACTCGCAATGATTGTGATTGCTTTGGGATTTGATGGTCGAATAAAAGGTTTGAAAATGGAAGAAAATTCTTGTTTTCAGGAGCATGAGCATGAGCTTTTTTTGGCGAACGGGATGGGGGAGAATACCGTGAAATCAGACGAACCGTTCAAAAAAAAACAGAAATAACGGCGTTTTTGCGCCCTTTATACGTCTTCATGTCATTGGTGTAGAACTGGCCGTGAAAAACAAAATATTACATTTTCTTGGTACAAAAATTCCAAAAAATCATTTAGAATCGTGGTGCCCTGCTGTTAAGAAAAGGATGATCTGGAAAATCACTAAAGAAAATGGTTATTTTAAAAACTATAGTATTTTCAAGGGTATGCACATGGTTCGCTTGCTGGCACGCTCCCTTTAGCCGATCAACAACCTCCTTCAACTCGACCCCAGCTTCGGCGTGAGCTTCCTTACTTGCTCCCACTCTCTCTCTCTCTCTCGCTCTCTTTCTCTCTCTCTCTCTCTCTCTCTCTCTCTCTCTCTCTCTCTCTCTCTCTCTCTCTCTGCCTACATGAGGCGTCGAAAAAATGGATGGCAACGCAAAAAGACGCACCAACCCCCCTGGCGGCTTTACAATGCGAACCTCCTCCTCCTGCGAGGCGAGAAAAATGGCTGGGCCCGGGGCAAAAGCCGAGAGAGGGCCCTTTGACGCGACAAATTGTCGAGATTAATGACTTCCTCCAATGATAGGCTGTGACTGGGATACCGGGCGGGGCTGTTTTCATTCGATTTATGGGTCGGGGCTTTGGGGTTGGTGACACGGTCTCCGGGTCATCGCGTGGTAGATGAGGGCTTGGCTTGCTGCCAATGCGCCCGCTTAATTCCACGCTTTACTTTTTGTAGTTTTAAGATTTAAAGAGGCTGGGAAGAACCAGAAACGATGTATTCGTGACCCAAGGCGCCAACAGATATGCCCTATTCCAAGAGTAGCTTTTAAGCGCATTTCTACCGGATTTTGCGCTTTTTTTGAGCGTGCCAGGTACCTGTCGAGACCTAGCCTCGATCAGGAAGTCGATCCCGCTCTTTTGGGCTCCTTTAAGATGCTGTTTTTTTCTGGAAAACGATGACTGGTTATTACGACAGTCCCAAAAGTGAGTTCTGTTATTCATAAATTCTCTACAGTATTCATTCTATCCTAAATTCATTCCTATTTCCTCATTCTAAAATCACGGCAATCAACCACGACGACTGTTGCTCCCCTTTTGAGTTACGACTTTAATCCCGTAAGGTAACTCGCCATCTTTGCTCCCATACCTGCACAACCATCAGTCGTTATTCGCCGCAAGTCCCCTTTCCTCTAATCGATCATCGTTTTTCCCACGTACTTCAGGATGCCGGGCTGATTGGCGGCGACCATTCCGGGCCGCTCTCGGCTTTTCGCTCCCAATCAAGTACAGCTGACGCCAGTTCATAGCTGTGGTGACAGCTCAAAAAGGGGGCCGTCTGGTTCGTCGTCGTTCCAGACAGAGATGTTCGTTCGGTTTTTGGGGGCGTATTTTGGCGTAGGCTCTGTTAGAGTAGGCCTTGGCGGCATTAAATGGAAACGTATCAGCTAATTTATTAAGGACAAACTAGAGTACAGCTAAACACAACTAAAGGGACACCGAAGGCTATGGATTCTTCTGGATTTTTTTGAGGCCGCGGCACGCTACGCATCCGCCGCCTTGAAGGAGCTGGTGTCAACCCCCTTATGAATTGAATATAGGATCCGTTGAATACAGTCCTATAATCGTGGCTTCTCAATCACTTTAAAGGGCCGAGCAAGGTATGGCTTTTAGCGGTGGATTCCGTAGGGACCGGAAGATACGCATAGCATCGCCGCCGTCAGCAGCGCAGGAAGAGGGAGAATCTGCGCATTTTATGTCGCTCCCGGGACCGATTAGATAGCCAACAAACACATATGCATGACTTACTTGTCCCTTTCATGGATCTATTTTTAGCCCATCTTTCCCACCCCAATAATCGATTCCTTTAAGACCCCGTTTTCAACGACCCCATTGTCCTCATCCTCCCCTCTCGACCTCACAGAGCCGGCTCATGCTCAACCCCTCCACCCGACCCTCTCGGATATCCCCTCCCTCTCCTGCACCCCAGGCGTACAGAGTAATAAGCAGTAAACGCAAAAAAAGGATCCCGACTCGCTGACGGACAAGCCCGGGGCCGCCGGGCTTTTGCGGAGGAGGGGAGTTGAGGGGTCTGTGTGGCTGTGTGGCTGAACCGCGTGCTGAGGCTTTTGGTTACAGCCCTCTTCCCCTTTTCGACGCGGGCCTCAAAAAATGGGGTCCCTCTATTGCCGCATGCTCGGTTCGGTTCCCCATCACCACCGATCGGCCCCGGGGGCCCATAGAAACCGCAGACCCCTGATTAATTGACTGGGGGTTGCGGCGATCAGCTGATATTTTGGCTTGCGGGTTACGGTAGCTTGACGTTCATGGGCTCTTTCTTCGATTTCTGCTCGGAGCGGTTAGTGGAGAATGGTTTTCGATTCAAATGTCATTTTTCGAATTTAGCATAAAATTCAAAATTGTTATTGTAGCTTCAAATTATAAAATTTTTATCTGACCCGGATTCTACCTTTTGAGCAACCAAATTTTCGTTTGTCGAGAAAATCGCTCTCTTGTTCTCTCTATCTCTCTATTTTCCTCTCTGGTATGCTCTCTCTCTATCGCTCTCTCTCTCTCTCTCTCTCACTCTCTCTCTCTCTCTCTCTCGCTCGTCTTTGGCATTTTCTTTTCTCTCTTACAAAAAGTTCTTTCCACAACTGCCATTGCATCGTTCAACAAAATTTTTCCTTTTGTAAATCACGATTTTTTTGCAGCTTTATTGTATTTGCCATTCGCAAAAAATCTCCAAAAAGCCTAATCCCAAATTTCAGGTAAAATGGTGAAAAAGGAGGAGTTCGAGTACACCGAGGAGGACGAGCACCTGTCAGTTGCTACAGTTTTGAATCTGTCTACTTTGGCACTGTCGCAAGAGCAATTTTTATTTTAGCGACGACGAGGAGGAGGAAGAAGAAGAAGAGGAGGACGAGGAGGAGGTCCAAGCCGCCGATGCTCCCGCCGAGGAAGCTGCTCCGGCTGAGGAGTTAGTATAGAAACTTATTTTTGCATACCGCAAGTATAGGGCCGCCGAGGAACCAGAGGCCGAGGAAGCTGAAGAAACCGAAGAAGCAGAGGAGGCTGGAGGTGAAGCAGAAGCGGCTCCAGCACCGAAGTAAGCTAGCTCTACCGTTCCCTACCTTGTGATTTTTAGGGCTTCGCACGCCCCGCGTACTCGAACTCCTGAGCCGACGGAGATGACTGAGGCCGAGAGGGCCATGGTCGCTGCCAAAAAGCGCCATGAGGAGGAGGAGAAGCTCAAGGTTTTCTTGCCACCTCGGTTTCAGCGCAAATTTTCAGATGCTCGACTACGAGGAGCGCAGGAAAGTCGAGAAGGCGCAGTACGAGACCGAGCTCCGCGAGCTGAAGGAGAAGCAGGAAATTCGTCGGTACGATTTTGCCGCTGAATGCTATAGAACAACGGTGCGTTCAGTCGTGAGCGCCAAAAGGAGGAGGCGGAGTACGAGGAGCGCCGCCGCACCGCCGAGCAGAAGAAGCGCCAAGAGGAGGAGGAGCGCAAGCAGAAGGTCAGGCGACATTCCAAACTCCGAAAGAAAAAATTAAAATATCGACAATTAAAATATCGAAAATAGAAATTTCGAAATTTTTTGGACGCAAATTGACCTGTTCGCTGTCGGAATTTTAGCCTGCCGGCGTTGGAGTGTTGGCATTTCGAATGTCGGTATTCCGGACGCAATCCAATACTGTCCTCCTTCAGATCGAAGCCCAAAAGCGCGCCCGCTACGAGGAGAAGCAGCGCCGTCAGCAGATGATGGCCGGCTCGTTCAATGCGGCTGCCGCAGCGGCTGCCCCCGGTGGCAAGAACTTCACCATCAGCTCGAGCGTAAGTTGGTGTAGCCTGAAAAAAGTGTGGCCTTTTTTAGGGCGAGCAGGCCGAGCAGTTCGGAAACCTGGCCGGCAACAAGCAGAAGGCCAACGAGGTGTCGGCCGAGCAGAGGGAGGCCGCCAAGAGGGTGAGGGTCAAGCTCAACGTAGCTTAAGCTTCAGCTTTGGCTAACCCGGTTCTGGCCTTATAAATATACCATTTCAGGCGTTCCTCGAGGCTGTCTGCAAGCAAATCGACGTCTCCGGCCTGTTGCCCAACGACCTGAAGGAGAAGATCAAGCAGGTTCACGCCAGGATTTGCCGGCTGGAGGCCGAGAAGTGAGCATCAGCTTTGGGAGCTTCATCTAATTTTGTTCTGACTTTGTTCTGAAAAGAAAAAGCTGAAACGTCAAAACACAAAATGCAGGTACGACCTCGAGAAGCGCAACGAGCGCCAGGAATATGATCTCAAGGAGTTGCACGAGCGCGAGCGACAGGTTTGCACTTTGTAGTTGTTGGCATTTTTGGACCTAGACTATAATACACTAAACTACAGGCTACAAATTTTGATTTTCAGGGTGCCCGCCAGCGTGCTCTGAAGAACGGGCTCGACCCTGAGGAGGCCGCCAACTCGAAGCACCCCCCGAAGAAGCGCGTCGCCTCCAAGTTTGACCGACAGGTAAGCTGGCATTGATTTGTGTAGGGGGGGGGGGGTTGGCTTAGGAAAAGGAGAGGGCAGGCTAGCAGAGACTCTTGAGGAAGCGGCGGGGTTCTAGCAGAGGTTCTTGGCCAATTCGAACGAATTCAGACCGACCGACGAACATACGGCGACAAGCGCGACATCTTCGAGAGCCCCATCCTCCCCAAGGCCCGGTCCATCGCCCGAGGCACCGCCCGACCCCCGCCCGAGTGGGGCCGCAAGGATAACGAGGAGTTGGAGCAGCTCAGGAAGGTGGAGAACATATTGGCAAATTTTAATCAGATTTTTTTCACAGATTGTCGAGCCCCCGAAGTACATCGAGCAGGTCAAGGCCGAGGGTGACGCGGCCAAGCCCCCGGTTGCAGCAATCCCACTTCAGATGCCGACCGAGGACTTTGATGCAAGTTTTTTTTGTGTTTTCGAGTATATTTTGTCCCAGAAACTAGACATTAGCCTTAGAAAAGCCGAGGAGCAACAGCACTTTCAAGAATTGGGAATTCCAGTCCCTTCCTTGAATTTTCAACGCTCATTAGAAAATCCATTGTCGGGGAGAGGGGGGGGGGGGGGCGGGGGGGGCGAAAACGTTATGTACGAATTCTACCTTGAAACACGTTTAAGAAAGTCACAATCCCATTTCCGCTTTGACTGAAAATTTGGCGAGTTCTAGGCCCGAAAACGAAATTTAACTTTTACTCCTGTTTCAACGGTCGGGTCATTTAATTAAAAAAAACTTAATTTCGTTTTTCCCGTTTTTAGGATTCAATCCCAATGGAGCCGGTGAAGCCCGTCTACGATTTCCCCTCAGCCGGAGGAGCCGCCAACATGCTCGGAGTCCCCAGCCAAGGAGCCCTAGAAAACGAGAGTGCACCTCAGGACGTAAGCTAACCCCAAAAATGTTTGGATTTCTATGCTGTTCTTTGATCTGTCGCCTTTCACTGTCCTGTAGGTCGACCCGACCCCGGCTGCCGCGCCTGAGCCCGCTGCGGAGCCCGAGCCCGAGCCAGAACCTGAGGCCGAGCCCGAGCCGGAGCCCGAAGCCGAGCCCGAACCTGCCGCCGAGCCGGAGGTTCCTAACGCTTAGCTTCAAGGCGATTTTGAGACTTACGGTTTTCGATTTCCGGGTTTTCATAACAACACTGTTTTTATTAAATCACGGGTTTTGAAGGTGGGCGTGAGCTTACTAAATTTACGAATTAGCTTACAACTAATTTCGCGGATCTGACACGTTTTTTCGGAGCACACTTTACTATTAAAAGCTTACTACTCTTAACATGATGGTGAGCTTTCTAAATTCACGATTTACAAGCGCTTTCCGGCACTTTTTTATCTTGAGAATCACGACTAACAGCATATAAGAATTAATAAAAATTTCAAAGCTTTTGATTGCCCCACCGACTATATAATTTACAAAGTTTGTAGCGTGTAGTTTGTTTGCGGTATTGACAATCAATTATAATTAAATCGGAGATAATTTAATGGAAAAAGCGTCACAACGACGATAGATTCTCGATTTTATAGTTTGTAGTGTGTAGCCTAATTGAAGTTTTTCAATTTGTTACAATTAAGGCTAATAAAAAATGCGAATTTTCCGCAAGGCAAAACATAAAAATTGAGCTTTAACCTAAAACTTGTAAAATATCCGATTTAGGCCGAAGAAGAGGAGGAAGAGGAAGAAGAATAGAGCACCAACAACCCCCAACTCATTTTCCATCATTTCTGCATCCTACCACCCCTCCCCTCCTCGAATTTCCCCATCGACTGCCCGGTACATGCGCTGCTGTAGTTTCCTTAGTCTCTCTGCTTCTCTAGGCTTTTCCTCTGTTCCCTTGAGCTTTTCCAGAATTCTTTCAACTCCCGAAAACAAGATGTTTATCCCCGAAAATACTATCTTTTCCTGCTTCACCAACATCGGATTATTGTGTAAAATAAAGTTTTTATCATTACTTGGTATATGTTATGTTGGTGTCATTTGTATTTCGTGTAAATTGAAGCCTAAGCCAAGCCTCGACCTAACCTAGCCTAAGCCTAAGCCTAAACATAGCCTAATTCTAAGCCTAAGCCTAAGCGTTGGCCTAAGCCAAAGCATAAGCTTCACCTAAGCGAAGGCCTACCCCTAAGCCTAAACATTGGCCGTTGTAAAAGTGTTTGGGGCTCTCGAACACTTACTTAAATGACATTGGTATACATTATGTCAGAAGCATAGGCTTAAGCCAAAGCCAAAGCCAAAGCCTTAGCCTAAACCTAAGCCTAAGCCCTAGTCTAATCCTAACCCTAACCCTAAGCCTAGGCCTAAGTCTAAGCCGAAGCATTGACCGAAGTTGAGGCACTTAGGATTCTTCACACTTACTTCAATGTCATTTTGTATGATGCTGTGCAACAACATCTTTACTATGCAACTGAATCCTCAGGCGAAGCGATAAAATATTCTTTATCGAGCGGCCTGTAGGCCCATGATATGCACGTTGAAAGAAGGAAAAATAATCAGGATTTATTAGAACAGAAACTGGCAGCTCATTCGGCCAAGATTTCGGGAGCCTCACCATCGGCCGGCTCCTCACCGTCATCTTGTCCGTATTGAGGGACGGATTCCTGAAAATTTCGATATAAAATAGTTAGTTTCGATATAAAAATACGCGCTTCTCCTCCCTCTCTCCCTCCCTCTCTCCCTCCCTCCCTCTCTCCCTCCCTCTCTCTCTCTCTCTCTCTCTCTCTCTATCGCTATCTCGTTCTTTCGTCAAAAACTTACGTCGAATTCCTCCGTAGGGATGACAAGCGGGCTCGGATTGACTGGCGGGCGCGCATCCTCAACGGGGGCCTGCTCGACGTACTTTGGCGGCTCAAGGTTCTAAAAAAATCGATAAAATGAAATATTCGAGTTTTGCATACCTTGCGGATCTGCTCGAGCTCCTCGTTGTTCTTGCGTCCCCACTCCGGCGGCGGGCGGGCGGTTCCGCGGACGATCGACTTCGGCTTGGGGATGTTCGGGTTCTCGAAGAGGCCGCGCTTGTCGCCGTAGTTGCGTCGGTCGATCTGCAAAACGATTTTAGCATGGTCAACCACTAACTTTCAAGTTCATGCAGTTCAGTTACAGTTTCTTTTATTTTTTTTAATAAAAACTTGTGCTCATCCTCAAGGAGTTCGACAAAGAATCTCTCAATATGTTCAGGCTATGGGATTCAAATTCAAACAGTTTAAAGCCTGCTCCTAAGATTTCGGCAATTTTCCTAAAAATTGGATTTCAAGCATAAGCCTTTTGTAGAACATCTACACGCGTAAGTCTGATCTACTGATGTGACGAGCTCAGGTTCAAGCAGTTCATAAAAAATCCTACTCACCTGGCGATCGAACTTGGAGGCAACCTGGAGCTTGGGCGGGTGGACAGAGGAAGCAGCCTCCTCCGGGTCAAGTCCGCGAGCGATAGCCTTTTGACGGGCCACCTGCACCTGGCGCTGGCTCAATTCCTTCAGGTCGTACTCCTGGCGCTCGTGGCGCTTCTCCAAGTCGTACCTTTAAAATTTGGGCTAGAATTTTGACTAGACTTCTTGGAGTCGGGGGATTTGACTGCTGAAAAAAACCTACTTCTCCGCCTCCAAACGGCAGATGCGGGCGTGCAGCTGCTTGATCTTCTCCTTCAGGTCGTTGGGCAGGAGCCCGGAGATGTCGATCTGACGGCAAGCCGCGTCCAAGAAGGCCTTCTTGGCGGCGATGGCCTGCTCGGCGCTGACGGCCTGCTTGTTCGGCTTGGCGCCGGTCAGGTTGCCGAACTGGTTGGCCTGGTCGCCCTGGAAGAGGCAGATTAAGTTAGTTTTGCAATTCCAGATTATTAAGTTCAAGGTTTAGGCAAATAAAAAGTAGACGATCAACCGTCACCCACCTTGGAGTCGATGGTGAAGTTGCGGCCGGACCCGGCTGGTGCGGCGGCGGCGCTGAACGCGCCGGCCATCATCTGCGAGCGGCGCTGCTTCTCCTCGATCTTGGCGCGCTTCTCGGCCTCGGACTGGAAAGATATGTGTGCTCATTATTTCTGGATGACAGCATTCCGTCCGGCTACACTAACCCCCCAACATCTGCGGTTTATGGGTGTCGTTTGGAGTTATGGGAGTTTATGTAAAAAATGGGGTGCAGGCGGATAATCCTAAGCCTCAGCCTAAGCCTAAGCCTGAACTCGCTTCGCCCTTACCTTTGCCTTCCTCTCGTCTTCCTCCTGACGACGGCGCTCCTCGGCGTGACGGCGGCGCTCCTCGAACTCCTGCTCCTCCTGCTGGCGCTCACGACTAAAACTCAAGTCTAACTCCGCACGTTGACGAAAGCGAGGCCGAAAATTGAGTAGATGACTCACCGGCGGACCTCCTGCTTCTCCTTGAGCTCACGGAGCTCGGTCTCCATCTGGGCCTTCTCGACCTTCCTGCGCTCCTCGTAGTCGAGCATCTTCAGCTTCTCCTCCTCCTCGTGACGCTTCTTGGCAGCAAGCATAGCCTGCTCGGCCTCAGTCATCTCAACGGGAGAGGGGGTGCGCTGAGGTGGCGGGGCAGGGCGAGACCTAGATTATGCAAATTAAGGTACGGCCGAGAATTTCTGACCTCTGCTCCTCAACTGGGGCCTCCTCGGCCTCCTCAGCCTCGGGCTCAGCTTCAGCGGCGGCGACCTCGGCCTCGGCTTCTTCCTCTTCTTCCTCCTCATACTCCTCGTCCTCGTACTCCTCCTCGTCCTCGCTGAAAATGAGTTTGGACGTTGGAATGGAAGGAGCTTGATAATTTATGCATATGAGTAAGCGAGAAAGAGGGCAAGAGAGAGGGAGAGAGAGATAGAGAGAGAGAAAGAGAGTGAGAGAGATGAGAAAAACCTACTACTCCTCGTCCTCCTCGCGGTAGTGTTTGAACACCATGGCTGCCGATTTTATACCTGAAAATGGAAGATGAACTTACTGTTGGAAACGAGAGAGAGAGAGACGGAGAGAGAGAATGAGAGAGGGAGAAAGAGAGAGAGAGAGAGGGAGAGAGAGAGTGATAGCAATATGTTAAGCGACTTAAAATTGTACCAAAAATCTTTTGGAAAATGTAACAAGTTGGTTTTTATGACATTTTATAACATTAAAGTGAGTAACGAATTAATAGAATTTTCTAGAAGACGGTAGGTGCCAGCAGTAATTAAAAGTATATCCGTCCGGCTGCACATTCGCTTTTATAGGCCAGGAATTATCTATCATCATTTTATAACTTTCCAAAAATAGCTCATCAATAGAAAATGTAAAAAGCAACACCCTCCACGACTCGATGCACCCAATAAAAATGTGATCCGAAAGTTGGGCCTCCAGGGGCGAGGGGAGTGGCAACCGGGGGAGTAGGGATTTCCCGTGTGGGTGTTGGGCAGGTGGTACAAAAAGACAAAAGACGGACTGGAAGGAAACTTTGGCCCACCAAAACGGATCGAAAGGCAGAGAGAAGGGGAGAGAGAAGGGAGAGAGAGGAGTCGGACTCCTCTCTACCGTCTCTGGGCTAGTGTAACGCGACTTCACCCCCCACCCCCTCGGGCGCCCCAGGGGTCTGGTTGGCGCGTTGTAATGTGCTCGATTTGCCGCGCCGGCTGGCCCGAGTCAGGACAGGGCCTTGGCTTTGAGAGGATTTTCCCCGGGAAAACAATGGCCTGGGGGTAGGAAAAGCTTGGAAAAGTCTTTAAACTTGAAATCAGAAAAATTATAGGACTGTATGTATACCGTATAAGGCAGAGAATGAGCGGATGCTAGAGTAAGAGCGAGAGAGAGAGAGAGGGTGTGAGAGAGAAAGAAAGAGTAAGAACGAACGAAAGAGAGCGACCGATATTTTGTAACCTAAATTCGAAACGATTTTTAAATTGAAAAGCTTCTTCGCTCCAAACATTAGCGCAAATTGAATCTTTCCGCTTTGCTCATGGAAGTTCGATGTGTTGAAAAATAGCCGAACCACAAGATCGATATGGAAAAACCGACCCTTCACCCAGCTGGGCCTCGACAGCTACGCATTTCGCTCAGAAAATCACTTACTTTCAAAGGCATCAATTGCTTTGTCTTAACGTCACTCTTCCGAAAACAAAATGTAGTTTCCAGGCGTTTTCGAGCGCCACGCGTAGCTGTCGAGACCCGATCGGTAGAATCAGTTGATTTTGGCACTTTATTCCTATGCGAATTTGCTGCATCCTCCCATTTCCCCGGTAAATGCCAAAATCAAGTGCAACATTCTCCCTCTCGCGTCCCGATATTTTCTCGCGGTCCTTTATCAAGATCGCATCGATTGGACTGAAAGCAAGAAACGTTTGGTTTTTTCTTCATCCCTACAGTTAATGTCTATAATTCTAGGACCGTTAAATATCATTAATTTTGCTGTTTTTTGATGTATCACCTTCTGCTCTTTCATTTTCCAAAATTAAATCTTGACATTTCAGACCTGCTCCTCAACTCGGGTTCTTCTACCATTTATATAGCTTCATGTAAAGCTACGTATGTAAATTAGAAATGTCCTTAAAGAATGCTACCATGGATTAATTGAATTTTGAATGTTAGGAAAGAATATGGAACGCCGGGTACCCTTCGATACAGCTGGCCGGTGAGCAGAAGCGCTTAAATGTTTTAAATATTGTTCAGAAATTTTAAGCGAAAGTCACAACTTGAACAATTGGCAACACTAAAAAACCCTGGAAATGTGC